AATACTATCACGTATTGAGCCCCTGAGGTTCAAGGTGCTAGGACGGGGGAATCCCACAAAGACCAGCCTGCTGCGCTCGGGCCACACCTGCACAAGCGAGTGAATAAACCGCTAATTTCAGGGACACATGCTGCAGAGGGAAGTGGGGGAGGCCCAGGAGAAGGAGCACCCCAGAGCAGGAACTGCTTTCCCAAGAAGCCCTGGGGGCCTCCTGCTCCCCTACCCACTGCTTTCCCACAGGAGGCAGGATGTTTGTTCCTCGGCTCAATTCCCTCTGGAGGCCAATCCAACAGGTCTCATTTTCTTCCACACGTTGTTAAACTCGATCTGAGCATTAAGTATTCAAGGAAGCCCCATCTGCAAATATTTACCTTTCACTCAGCAGCTTCGACCCTCCCCTGGGAGGCCCCATTAAGATGCCCTCCTCTGGGATGGGGATGGGATGGCGATGGCTGGCGGGCAGGATGGCGCCAGGAGAATTGAATTCCTGACTTGCCCAGAGCTGGGACAGACAGGCCGCATGGGGTCGGGGGCTGGAGGTGTGTTCCCCCTCCCCAAGAACCCAGCAGCGTGCACATGGGCTTTCCACGTGAGCACGTGCACACATACGTACACACATACATGCACACATGTATGCCTTCCTTAAACACACCACCACATTTTAAAAGCCCTGAAAACTTGGGGGCTGGCTGGTGGCTCAGCGGTAAAACGTGACACTCTGTGAGGCTGATCCACAGAGGAAGGTCCCAGGTTCCCTTCTGGAGATCCCCCTACCCTCACCCCCTGTACACTGGGCACATGTGTGCCCATGGCCCAGTTCTGGGTGAGTAGGGGTGATTGATTGCCAGGACTCTGCTGGAGATGGTATCTCTTCTCCCACTCTCTCTCAATAAATCAATAACTTATTTTTAGAGAGATTTTTGCTATAAGGCATGTGTGTTTGCCAGAGGGACAGTAGGGGTGAAGTTGCCTTTCAGGAGGGATGGCCACGCCACAATCCTTTCTCCTCCAGTATCCTCTCGGGATTTTGGATGCACACATATGCACCCGACATGAATTTTAAGCCCTCGGGTCCAGGACTTGAACTGCAGTCGACTACGTGGGAGTCCAGCAGCATAACCATCATGCCATCCACTGGTCCCAAATCAATAACTTTTTAAAAAGACCCTGTGTTGTGGTTCCTGTCTCTCTGTCTCTCTCTCTCTCCATCTCTCTAGCTCATGAAAGAAGGAAATATACCTAAACAAAATCGTTTAGAACCCATCCAAGTATCTGTCTCAGACCCATACTAAACTCTTGCAGAGGAAATCCACCAGGACTGGGGCGAGGCAGGGGTGGGCAGGGAAGGAACAGTTTAAGCCCTTGCTGGCTATCAGCCCCACAGGGCAACCCCTGTCCTTGCCCCAAGGGGACAGCATGAGAGGCCACGGGGCTCACAGACGCCTCCCCGCTGGTAGGAGCGGCAAAGAGGCCAGGGGCACTCACTCGCCACAGCCTCACGCTGCATTCCCATCAGTCTACCTTGGCCCTCGAGCTCTGAGCTCCTCAGTCGCTCACAACCCCTATGTATGTGCACAGTCCCTGCCTCAGTGCCAGGAGAGACTTAGATCAGGCCTGAGAGGCTGTACAGCACAGTGATTGACTATATAGTGTGGGTTCAAATCCCAGCTCTGGCACTTGCCAGCTGCATGATCTTGGTGAAGGCACTTCCCTTCTCTGTGCCTCGGCTTTGTAAGATGGGGATGATGATAACATCGTGGAGACTAACGGAATCACCCCGGGCGTCAAGAGCAGTGCCTGCGCAGGGCGGGCTACAGTAAGACGACTGTGAACGGAGTGTCTACAATGCCACTGCCATCCTCGCTAGTCATGGCTATGCTCATGCTGCACTCTGGGGCCTGACGAGGCCATTCGTAGCAAAGGGACAGGAACTCTCACACCAGACACCTCTGGGTACCGGGCACTGTGCCCAGCATGCCACGTGGGTTATCAAATCTCGGTCTTGCTGAAACACCTTGAGCTCTGGACCCTCCCATTGTAGGTCAGAGGGAAAAGGCTCAGAGCGGTT